TAGCTAACATCTACAATGTAAGCCCAATGGCCTAGATTGAATATGGATCTATCCAATTGTCACAATTGCATTTAAATTTTGAGCGTCTATTCTTTAAAAATAGGATAATCTAATAAAAATATTAAAAACTAAATTAACCAAAATACCCCTAAAACTTTCAAGGGTATTTTGGTCACTTTATATTTTCCTAATTATTTTTTTAAAAATATTTTTATTAAGTGTGCCTCGACGATTTGGATTTGTAAAAAAATATAAATATTATGTTACAAAATGAGGTCGTAACTGTCAGATCGGCCCAGATTAAATCGGGGTCGTGGGGCTAACACTGTAGCTGTCAGCTAACGGGCTAACTTTAGATTCTCCCATATATATATATATAGGAAAACTCTTCCCAACTCCTTTAGACAAAAATGAACAGTGATTTCGCCTACCCTCATTGCCATCCAAACTTTATCGCATGGTCATGGTTGTCCGGTAGTGTTTCAATTTTCATTTTTTATTTTACTTAAAACTTTGAGCGTGTGTACATCTTAGTGAGGCGCACCTAATAAAAATATAAAAAAAAATAATTCGCAAAATATAAATTGACCAAAATACCCTCGAAAATTTACTGGGATATTTTGGTTAATTTAATTTTTGCAAATTATTTTTTTCATATTTTTGTTAGGTGCGCCTCACTAAGATGTACACACGCTCCAAATTTTAGATCATTCTAATTAGTAAAAAAATAATGCAAATTGAAACACTACCAGACAATTGTGGTCGTGTGATGAAGTTTTGATGATGATGAGGGTAGGTGAAATCACTTTTCATTTTCGCTTATCGGCGTTTTGTAGTATCTGCCATATATATATATATATAGGAAAAGGATCGTCTCAGCCTATGGGCTACAGTGTCAGCCAACGACCCAGATTGAATCTGGGCCCAATCCAATGGTCACAACGTCATTTCGTATTTGAATTTTTATTTTTTCATACATATCCAAATCACTTAAAATTTAAATGTCTAATCTTAAAAAGTTGGAGAATCTAAACAAAATAAAAAAATAATTTGCAAAATATAAATCGACCAAAATTCCCCCAAAAAGTTTCAAGAGTATTTTCGTAAATTATATTTTACAAATTATTTTTTTCATATTTTTATTAGGTGTGTTTTGATGATTAGAATGTGCACCTAATATTTTACGTGTTTTGGATTTGTAGAAAAAAAATTAAAATTCAAATATGAAATAAGGCCATGACCGTCATATCAGCCCAGATTCAATCTGGGATGTTGGTTGAAACTGTAGGTGTCAGCCCATGGGCTGACAGGATCATTATATATAGAAAAAGCTCCCAATAACTTCGCACTTATAATGAATAATAATCTAGGAAGAATCCTAGCCATTAGATCTTCATCGGGTGGTTCAAAATACATATGACTATTTGAATTCTAATCTTGTCTTTGTCGAAATCATATCGTGATGAATTTTTGGGTGTGTACTAAAATAAGGGCACAGGCACAGAAGAAACAAATGTAAACAAATATTTTTCACAATATAAAATAACGAATATATCCCTGAAAAATGACGGGGATGATTGGTCATTTCAAATTATTAAAAGTAAAATTTTTATGTTTTTATATGTTGCAAGCTGGTGTCAAGTATATACGTCCAAAATTTTATCATGATCCGATTTCTAGGAAAAAAAATTAAAATTTAGATAGTGACTTGTATTTTGAACAACCGATGAGGATCTGACGGCTATGATTCCTTCATTATTATTCATTATCGATGCGACCTTTTGGTAGCTTTATCATTATATATATATATATATATATATATATATATATGTCTGTGCAAATGAATATTGTGGTGATAATTTTCTTTGTTTCGTATGCTGTATTGTCCAGTGATAGTGTCCCCATATCCTCTAAAATTTGATTGTAGTAGATTGAACATAGACATTTACTGTGCTGCCACTTACATCCTCTCAACAAGTCAAGTACTACATCAGTTGTCGGCCATTGTATTTAGAGTGCTCTTCTTTTTATTCAATGCTACAAAACAATTAATGACCATACCACCTTTACCTCAATGCCGTTTTTGCCTTAGTAATTACCATATCATTTGATTTTATTGGACTTTATTTTTTTTTCTGGAAGTTTGGATATGATGTCCACTTTGTTGCCAGGGTCTCATTAGTGGCTCAGCTGATTTGCGGGAACAAGCTGCGCAGGGTTTGGGAGAACTGATTGATGTGACTGGTGAAAAATCTTTAAAGGAATTTGTCATTCCAATTACAGGGTATGCAAGGAGCACTTTCTATAGTTTGAGATGGCTGTTAGACTACTTCAAGAGAAAGATCCATTCGTTGATAGAAAAAATAATTCCTAAACAAGGTTTTATAATGTTTACATTTAAGACTGAAATGACATGAACTGTATGGATTATGTACTGCGTTTTCTTTGTTCTTCTCCTCAATTTGTACTTATAGGCCTGCAAAATTCCTTCAATAAATTAAATTCATGTTGTGTACAATTTTTTGATACCGAGCTTTTTCTCGTTAATTATCCAACATTTTAAATATAGTTTGACTACGTGTTATTTCTGTTGTTTACATGTCCCTCTGCCTGCAGTTATTTACTGAACAAACCTAAAAGGTGAAATAAAAAAGAAAATTAAAAGAATTTGTGATCAATTAGTTTTGGGTAAGCCTGTATTTCTTAAAGTTCTGCATTCAACACTTCTTATGTGTTGTATTTTAATTCATGTATGGTAGCTCGCCTTTGGGTATTTGGCACTTGTGAAATCTTTTGAAAAGACCCTTTTTTTTTTTTGGTTCGCCTTTGCTTCTCTCTTTCGGTGTGGATATAGTTTTATTCTGCCCATCTGTGCTTGAAGTTTCCATTTCCTCTATCATATCCATTTATGGCTCATTCACTCCCATCAAAGGGAAAAGCTTATTTACAGACTGTGATTATATTCGCAGGCCTCTTATTCGGATAATAGGAGATAGGTTCCCATGGCAGGTTAAAAGTGCCATCCTTACAACACTGGTTATCATAATAAGCAAAGGAGGGATTGCATTGAAGCCATTTCTTCCCCAGCTTCAAACAACTTTTATCAAATGCCTCCAGGATAGTACAAGGTTTGTTATACTTTATTTTGTTTCTTAGACTTTTGCTGAAGAGACTTCCCTCCTGAATGCGTTTGATTTCCTGTTGTAGGACGGTGCGTTCAACTGCTGCTCTGGCTCTTGGAAAACTCAGTGCCCTCAGCACTCGACTCGATCCTTTAGTGAATGATCTCCTTTCCACTTTACAGGTAATTGTTGGTATACTTCCGTCCTTTTTGTAATAACGTGGTGGAGTGTACGCTATAATCCATTGCACAATGGGAAATCATGGTCCAATTTGTAGTCACTGTTCTGTGAAATGGACGGTGATTTAGAGGGCCCACTGTAGCAGGAAATGGCCCCAATATTTGTTCTTCCATTATCTCCATTACTATCCTTTATTTTATCAGACCTGATGATCCAAATGTTTCATGGTTTTTCCTATTCCATTGAAAAGTGTATGCTTCCCCAAGAAATATTACTTAGTTTCTGTGATGTTCAGGCATCAGATGGTGGAGTTCGGGAGGCTGTACTCTCTGCTCTTAAGGGAGTTTTTAAGCATGCTGGTAAAAGTGTAAGCAGTGCATTTAGGTCTCGTGTGCATACTCTACTCAAGGACCTTATACAGCTTGATGATGATCACGTTCGAAACTCAGCAGGAAGAGTATTGGGTATTATATCACAGGTATGATCGTGAAGCTCTGAATTTACATGTATCATGCAATGACCAAAATATTAGTTTAGATCAATCACTTATTTGTTTGAATAAATTTCCATATATTTTTTTAAGGGAAAAGTTTATATAGAGCCGAGGCTCTAAACAATCGAATTTGAGCCTAACTCCAAAATTTCACTAGAAGAGGTTCTTTGGATGCCCAAATATCTTCAAATTGATCATTTTGACATCAAGATGCATGGACATGAAAAAAGAATGGACTGCAAGTTTTAGAAATGGTGTATTTTGTAGCGCATTTTTGGACTGTTAATTTTCAAGATTTTCGGGTTTTCATAGATATGTCGATCTACACTATTTTTGAAGCTTTTAACTTCATAAATAAATATGAAACTATATTTTGAGGCTATCACAAAGATTTCCAATATTAAAACCATAATTCTCGACACTATTTGAAGGTAGGCTCTAATTGGATTGTTTGGAGCCTAGGCTCTATACAAACCGCACACTTTTTATAATTACTTGGTGTTTGTTAGGAATTAGTAACAGTTTTGTAATGGGGAAACACAGGCAAGTATCGACATTCAAAATTTTGGTTTAAACAGTATATTCTTTTCGCATTCGATGTCATTTATGTGCCCACCCTCACCCCAACCCTCACACTGTAAACCCCCTAACGTTTTAACCCTGGACAATCCTTTCATCGTTGAACCCCGCAAGAAGCTCCAATATTCCTTGGTGGGCTGTTTCTTCTCTCATAGGGACAATATCAAAGGTATCGGAAAATAGGGTAAATGGGTAGAACCAGAACTGCGCTGTCGCAAGCTCTCCTCAGGAGCAGTTCTCTTCAACTTCAGGTTGGAGGGTGGAGCCCTCAAGGCGTTGCATCACGTTAAACCCACTTTCAAAGGCACAGGCCTTACTCTAGAGCGAGAAAAACAAAACCTGGATGCTTGTCCCAAGCGCAAGCTATGCTTGACACCCTCAGACTTTCAAACTCGTTAGCAAAGCCTGTGGAGCGTTCCTTTCTGTGCACTGGCAATCTATCGAGTACCTCCTTCTGGGAACCATTCAAATCTTTATTGAAACAGTAGAACCCAAGCTCATCAGCCCCACACCCACACACGCCCCCCCCCCCCACTCACCTTTCTCTGGGTCAGTCACCCCCTAACCCCACCCTTACTGCGCAACACGTGGACAGGTCCTCGTGCCCCACCTCTCCTCATTGACACGCGTCCACCTCCTCTGCACCTGCTGACCTAGTGACATCCCTCCCCCTCCCCCACCCCGTGACCCTCCACATCCCTGTTGCCTTCACGTGTCAATAACTCCCTGATTCGGCCATGTCACCTCCAAATAGTACACCTTGAATGCTGCATGCTCCCAACTCGAGCCTGGACAACTGACAGAGGCAGCCCATTGTCCTTTAGCTTCCTTCATCCCCAGCCCTCTCCTATATGTTGATCTCCCCTCCTCTCCTTCCCTCCTGGGCCGCATCGCCCCTAGTTCCGATCCACCCATAGCTCCTTTCTCAACCTCCCTGAAGACCTGCGATGCTCCCTCTGCTCCCCCTCTCGAAGCAACCCTGCCACCTTTTGTACGTCCCCCCTCTAACCCTACCCCCAATCCGTGAGTGGGCCTCTCCCTCATTCCCATAATACAACCCCCCTTCCTGTCTTCCTCTAGGTCGGTCGTCCCCCTATTTGCCTTCCTCTCTCCCACTGCCTGCTACTGTTGTAAACCCTCCTGTGGTTACTGTGCCTCCGCTTCCTCACCCCATTCCCATGCACATCCCTCTATCACCATGCTCTATCCTATCTTCTTCTCTCTCCCGACCTCCCTAACCCCTCTTGTCCTCCACTCACCACACTTTGTACCTTCCCCTTCATGCTCCTGTCCCCAACCACCCACCAGTAGCCTTCTGTTACCACCATGCCCGCCACCCCTTCTTACCTGCTATCCTCAACTCAGAAATCTTCTTTGGCAGAAACTAGATAGGATCCCAGTGCACATGCCTTCCCCTTGGTGTTTAGGAGGTGACTTTAATGTCACCAGGTGGTCCTTTGAAAGGAACTCAAATCACAGCATCGGCCAATGCATGCTCAACTTCTCAGATTTCATTTCACGCCACAACCTTGTCGAAGTACCCTTTCAAGGTGCAGAGTTCACATGGTCGAACCACTCCTCCACCCCTTCCCTCTTCAAGCTGTATAGCTACTTGATCAGCCCCGAATGGGAGTCAATCTTCCTGGGATCACATGCCTTAGCTCTCCCTAAACTTACCTCAAACCATTGTCCTATCCTTTTGGACACCCATCCTGTCCCTAGGGGTGTTAAGGCCTTTTGCTTCGAACTCTATTGCCTTGAGGGGGCCGAAACACGCTCTCTCATTCCCTCTTGGTGGCAATCCTTCTCCGCTAAGTCCACGGGTGGGGCCGGTTTTCGATTGCAGTGCAAATTACAACTCCTCAAGGCTTCCCTTAAAAATTGGAGTCGTCTACAGCCAGGCAACTTCAAGTCCCCGAAAGAAGCCCTACTTCAATACATTGTCTATTAGAACCAGATCGAGGAGGATAGGGGCCCTAATCCCTGACGAACTCTTTTAGAGAACCCAACACAAATGCCAATTCCAGACCATTCTACACCAAGAGAAGATCTATTGGGCCCAACATTCTAGGATAAAGTGATTTAAGCATGAGGACCTCTCAACACAGCCATCTTTCATACAACAGCCTACTGTAGAAGGCAAGAGAATAGTATAACCCCCATCAAAGTGGGAAATATTTCCCTAGATAGTCCCCACCAGGTGGAGCAGGCTGTCATGGACTTCTTAAAAATCTTTTTCCTGCCCCACAGGGCCCCAGGCCCCTTATTTCAGATGTAGCTTTGATCTCTATTCCCCCTGGAAAGGCAGAATGGTTGGAAAGTGCATTCATTGAAGAACAAGTCCCGAAAGCCATCACGGACCTGGGACAAGATAGGGCCCTGGGGCTGGATGGTTACCCGGTTGCCCCTCCTTAAAACCTTCTGGTCTTCTCTTCGTGGTGACATTCTGTCCTTCTTTGAAGAGTTTTCACTTTAGAGGCATCATTCACAAAGCCATGAATGCCACTCTTATTATTCTCATCCTTAAAATTGAAGGTGTCAAGGAAATCAAGGACTTCCATCCTATTAGCCTCACCAATAGCTCCTACAAGATACTTTCCAAAGTCTTGGCCACCTGCCTTAGAGAAGTACTTGGCTGGATCATCTCCCCTTGCCAGGGGCCCTTCATGAAGGACTGCCTGATCCTTGATGGAGCCTTGGTGCCTCAAGAGTGTGTATACACTCTCACCACCTTTCCAAAAAGCGAGGCATCATCATCAAGTTGGACTGGGAGAAGGCCTACGATCATGTGGACTGGGCCATTCTCGAAGAAACAATGTCTAGGATGGGTTTTGGAAACCACTGGTAAAGATGGATCCGAGGCTGTATTTCTCATCCTTTCTTCTCGTTCGTCATCAATGGTTCTCTGAAAAGCTTCTTCCCCTCTTCTAGAGGTCTTAGGCAAGGAGATCTTCTCTCCCCCTTTCTTTTTGCTATAGTAGGGGAAGTGTTTAGCAAATCCATTGAGACGTATCACCACGGCCTTACCGCTGGTTTTTTAAATTGGAAACCGAGGCCCCACTATCTCCCACTTGCAATATGCGGATGACATCTTCTATTTTTGCAGGGCCGACTGCCAACAAGTTGATTGCCTGCTTCTCTTCCTCAGATGTTTCGAATTGGCCACAGGTTTCAGTGTGAATATGGGCAAAACCAGAATGATTGTGGTGGCCGCCTATACTATCTCCTCTTTGGCCGAAAGATAGGGTTGTGAGGTAGACATACTCCCCTCATCGTACATCCCTTTGCATTAGCAAGCCAAAATACAGGCAATGGATTCATCTTATAGATAAATTTGAATGTAAGCTGACTGGGTGGAAGGTTCGGTCCATCTCATCTGTGGGCAGATTTACTTATCAAGGCTACTCTATCAAATGTCATCATCTTCCTAATGTCCCTCTTCTGTATACCCTCACGCATTGACCGTTGATTTAAGCAGCTTGTGTGTAATTTTCTATAGTTAGGTGATGGGGACAACTCCAAATTGCACCTCATCTCTTGGGATAGGGTTTGTTTGCCTAACTACCTTGGGGGGTTGTGTATTCGTAGTCTAAGAAGGAACAATGCCTTCCTTGGCAAGCGGTGGTGGCGGTTGGCCATCTGTGGCAACAAGTGGTCTGCTACAAATATCACCTCCTCTCTGAATGGGTGCCCCACACAAGGATTGGTAGCCAGCCCTCGGGGGCATGGAGATCCATCCTCCACAGCCTTTCCACCTTCAAACTTAACATAAGATTTTTACCTTGATCAGGCCACAGAGTGAGATTCTGACTGGATCTCTGGCCTGGTAACGCCAACCCTGTGCACCCGTTCCCTAAACTGTTTTGCATTGCTCGCAATGCTCAGGGGACTGTAGCGGATCACTTTGACACCTTGGGCCCCTCTACATGTTGGAATCTCAATTTCAGGAGACCGCTGGCTGATCATGAGATTGACGACTTCCTCGCATTGTCCACCTTGATCCAAACAGTATTCCTCCCCTTCAAAGGTGATGACTGAATAGTTTGGTCATTTGCTGCCTCTGGCATCTTTTCAGTTTCCTCATTCTATCACTTTCTTTTAGATGCACCCCTTCCCTCGGCCCTCCCCTCCCTCTCTATGCCGAAGACCTGTTTTTCAATTGGATAATGCTAGCTGAGCGGGCCTTGACAGTGGACAAGCTACAAAGGAGGGGCCTACCCATACCTAATAGATGCACAATGTGCTTGACAGCCGAAGAAACGAACCCTCACCTCTTCATCCATTGCAAGGTGGCCACTGACCTGTGGGGGGACCTGCTACAACTCTTTGGGTGGTATTGGGTAACTCAGAGAAATGTCCCTGATTTCTTCACCTCATTGCACCCACTCCCTTGGGCTAAAGCTGGCGTCCTGCTTTGAAAGGCGTCAGTCGCAGCCACCCTTTGGGTGATCTGGACCAAGAGGAACATTCGGATATTTCCTGGTGAGCTCAAGACCTCGGAAGCATTAAAATACCAAGTGACGGACCTTGTCATATTCTGGGTAAAAAATCACAGCCTTTTCAAACACTTCTCCCACTCGGACTTCCTTCTTAACTGTGTAGCGTTGCTGCATACTGGACCCACACACACTGCTTCCCTGTGGAGACCTCCTGATTCCGGGCATATAAAATTCAACTTTGATGGTTGCTCTCTTGGCAACCCAGGCCCAGCCTCCATTGGAGACTGTACAGGAATGACTCTCCTTTTCCAAGTCCATTAGTCATCAGACTCCAACACTGCCGAAACCCTCGCCCTCCTGCTGGGGGCACTTCCTTGATTGTCGAAGGCGACTCCAAAAATATAATCTGTTGGGCTTCCGGAGCTTCCACATACCCATGCAGACTGGCCAATGTTTTCGACAAAATTTTGCACCTAAGCGGGAACCTGTGCATCACTTGGAGACACATCTGGTGAGAGTCAAACACAGCTGCAGATACCTTGGCCAGAGACAGGGTCAATCAGCCACACCCCTCCTAGGAACCAGTGGCACACCTTTTCTGTACTCAATAGAGATTGTACAGTTTCTGTGATACTGTTCCGTGATAGTTCCTTGTATAGCCCACTTTAAGTGGGCCCTTGAAGCCTTCACTGACTCGGGGAGGTCATTTTCTGTACACAATACTTCAATAAGAAGTTAATTAAATATATATATAAAATCTTTTAGTTTGTCCAAAGTTTCATTGATATAGGAGTTGAATCTCCAAGTAATAGGAGATTTTTCTTCACCTATGCTATAACATTTGAGGAGTTGATTCAACTATTATGAATGACCCACCTTGGATTCAAAATACAACTCCAGATGGAAGGCTAAACCCTTAGCTCCTTTAGTCTACTGATTTGCCTGGTCCCGAGAACATGAGTACTTCACCTGCCATGTCCGCGAAAAACTCCCCCAATACTGATAGGGCCTGGGTTATAACTTTGGAACATCCATCAAAATTAAATTTGATGATTTCCATCTGGAGGGGGAATCCCAGTCACCTGGTTGCTTGCTTCATTCTTGGGTTGTATGATCAAGCATGCAAATGCTAGTGGCTAAGACATCTGTTGTTGAGGTCCCGCAAAATTCGTTTCTGATGATCTCTGATGATATAATTTGAGCCTTTACACCCTCATGGCAAGTCTCCAGAGTAACGGACCAGCAGACGAATTGGTAAGGAATTCCATTTGTGGATAGAGAACTAATAGTTGCTGGTGTCACCCAACTGAAACTGAAGAGATTTGATAAATATGACCACACCATTTTGCAATGCAACAGGAATGGTCAAAATTCACTTCCAGATTCCAGCACATATTGCACCTATTGAGAATTTGCAGGCCCTCTCTTGCAGATGATCAGTGATCAGTGGGTTGCCAAAAATGGCCAGCCATATGAATGTTTGTGCTGGGGAGGGGCTTTATTTTCCTGGCATTTTTTGCAACTAAGGGCTGTCAATTAACTTGTCTTGATATAAACAACTTAATTCTAAAACTCACTTTTTCCGTTTAGGCTCCATATGATGGTCCTTCCCTACTTCAGGGAACAAAGCATAGTCAGGGGCAATCTGAGGTCCTTGGTTTCATTTTCTCCAAGGACTCTTCTGAATCTTAGGCACCAAAAAGAGAATGATACAAAGAAGTAGGAGGGGAGGAAGAGGGGCTATTTGGTGATAATAATCAAAACCATTTACACTACTGTAATTTTCCTCATCGATCAAGAAGAAAAAGTTGTTGTTTTTCCTAATTTTCAGCTTCTCCATGATCTACTGCTTAATGATGCAAATAAGTAGGAGCGGAGGAAGGGGCTATTTGGTGATAATGATCAAAACCGTTTACACTACTGCAGTTTTCCCCATCGGTCAAAAAGAAAAAGTTGTTTTTCCCAATTTTCTGCTTCTCCATGATGTTCTACTGCTTACTACTTATCAAATAGAAAAAACCGCTCTGTCCCCCTGTTGCTCTCTTATTTCTTATATGCTTTTATTCTATCTGGTTAGATTCATATTTAATTGTTTGTGTTCCAACTGATGTGGATACAGTACATGGAAGATGGTGAGCTCTTAGAGCTGTTGCAGACCTTGACAGAGTTAGCTTCAACGCAGAACTGGTACGTGAGACATGGTTGCATCATAGCATTTGCATCCATGTTTATGCACTGCCCTTCTGCAGTATGTCACTCAGCCGCTTTTCCATCTGTTGTTGATTGTTTGAGAGAAGCCTTGAAAGACGATAAGGTATAAAAATTCATGTTGCATATTTAAATTCCATCCTATGTTATCCTCTTTTATCTTGTTTTGGCATTTGAACATGCAAGGGGTTGCCTTTTTTATATTCCTTTTTTTTGGCTTTTTTATTCTTTTTTCTTTCCTCTTTTTGTTCTCGTCCTTACTCGTACCATCTTGCTTTTAGAAGGCAGCTGTGAATTCTAATTCTACTGGCCTATGACCATATAATATAGTTACAGGATGATGATGGAGAGTGGGATCTAGCAGGACAGGATATGAGCCCCCCAATGGTGGATCCCATTTTCTCCATTGCCTTCCATCATTTTATTTGATATTTATGATTCCTTTGGACTGTGTTTGCCATAGGTCACTGGATTATAGTACAATTTCCCTTCATATTTTTGTCACAAGTGTCCAGGACTTTTCTTTGGTGTTATGAGGGATTAAGATGCGATTGGAACTTGGTTATTGGTACTTGTAGCTCCATCTTTCTAGCCACCAAACCAATAGGTAGAATCCACTTTTCTGTTTCTTTTGTACTGATTGTTCTGTGGTTACAGTTCCCTATTCGTGAAACTGCAACAAAAGCATTAGGGAGACTTCTAGTATATCAAGCTCAAGAAGAGCCCTCTGGTCCATTAGAACTCGTTCCTCTCTTGATATCTGCTTTGCAAGATGACTCAAGCGAAGTTAGGAGAAGGGCATTGTCTGGACTCAAATCAACAGTCAAGGTAAAGTCAACCCCGCTTCTCATGGAGTGAAGTTCTAAGGCTCCATTGAGTTATAGTGTCCGTACCATAATTCAGTGGAGTATGTTAAACGGTTCAACAAAGGGAATCAGGCTTCTTTGCTTCCAAGTACAATTATACGGCATTGGGAGGGACAGTAGATGTGCCCCTTCGGAGTACTGGACTTATACTATACCGCATACCATACTCCACTGGATCATGATGTGCTTTTCTCCTTTTTGCTTTCTTTCTTATTATTTTTATTTATGGTAATCTTTTTTTTTTTTCCTGTGAATGGTAGGCAAATGTTTTTGCGGTTACACCTTCTCTTTCGGCTATGGGACCTGTGCTTGGCTTGTGTTTGAAGGATGGTAGCACACCTGTCCGCCTTGCTGCTGAGCGTTGCATTTTACATCTTTTCCAATTGACAAAAGGTAGGATCTCTTATGAACTTTGTTTATATTTCACAAAGAGGAACAGCTAATTTAGACCATATATATCCATTGTGGTTGGGTTTACACTTTTTCTTTGTTAAAAGTTGGTTCACCAATTTCTATTTCTTTACCTTAAGTTGCTTGGTTTTTGTTGAACATTTGAGACTTGATGCCCTTTGAAATATTTATAGTTATTTGTAGTCCTTAGTCTGAACCCCTTGAGTTTCAACTTCTCAAATAAAACGATGAATATGACTGTGGTACCATGGACAAACAGGAGGGGAAAATGTTCAAGCTGCTCAGAAGTTTATGACAGGGTTAGATGCAAGGCGCATATCGAAGCTACCAGAGCATAGGTACTTCTTTATTTGTTACCAAGGTTTTATAAATCACTGATCTGGATTAGAACCGCCCGATCCAGATCGGAAATCGTCAGAGCTGGTCCGGTTCCCATTATATATCGGGAATCGGCCAGGTAACCGCTTGAACCGGCTGGCTCTTTGATAGAACTGGCTGGTTTTGACCATTTCGGTCAAATGAGAACCGGCCAACTGGTTCATACTCATTTTAAACCGAGTTTTTTTTGGGCAAAATTTACCTATATGTGCAATTTAAAACTTTTTTAAACAAAGAGGCAGCAGCCCACCCCAGCAAAATTATTTTTTCATTGCCGCATTTTACAAACAGTCATTCGTGGGTCCACCCACGTGTAGGAATGGATAGCTTGCTAGTGGAAATGCTCATGCGATGTTGTGTGAGCCCTAAAGCTTTTATACAAGCTTTGGCTTTGTTAAATCCTTGATGTGGGGTAATTTGGAGCCCATAGCTCTCTCTCTTTCTCTCTCTCAACTTTTGAAAAATTTTCATAGCGTATAGCTTATTGGCGCGCTCTCTCTCTCTCAACTTTTGAAACATATTCTTATGTACTTTTTATACTTCAAAAAATTTAGTTCATGTATTCCACCTTAATTTTATATTTTTGAAAGAAGCTGACAAATGTTTCTATTATGTGCATAATGATCACGATATTGTAACACATCATTACATTGTTTTCTCTTGTTCCTTTAAGTTCCCAGATAAATAGAGGACATGGGGTATTGAAAAAAAAAAAAATAACACTTGTTCGTGGGGGACCTTTAGTCCATATGCCCACTTCAACATTTGTTTTCAAGTTGCTCTATCCATTTTCCTTAATGCAAGTATAAATCCATTTACGTATTTTTCTAATTTTATTAAAATGTGATTGTAAATTCATGTTTCCAAATACTATAAATCTGTCCATATTAATTGCTATACCTTAAATCTCATTTGGCAACATATACTTTTTGCATGCTAAATCTCATGAAATGGAGAGGATTTTTTTTCCATGGATAATTATAACCATGTCGAGAGACTTTAGAAATGATTTAACTAATATGATGAGCAATTTCAAAAAAAAAACTAATGTGAAATTTGAGGTTGTTTAAAAAAACCGAAAAGAAAAAGCTTTAGAATAGCAAAATAATGTGGTGTGAGAAAGCAGAAATGGACGGTCATAGCTTTTCCCTGATTGCCATTTTGGTTTAATAAAAACACAATAGCTCCTTGTAAGCAGCAGCTTGTTTTCTCTCTATCAATCAAATCAAAAGGAGCGAAGCTATTGTACAGTTCTTTTTTTTTATAAATTTTTTAGTTATAGAGGTCCATTTCGTTGCAATGAGTTGCACTTTAAATATTTTTTTGACTATAAAATGAATGTGATGGATAACAAATACTCATACATGAGACAGGTTCTCATAATTTATGTATAATGAAAAATTATGGTACAATGCCATTATTTTTTTTGAAAACCTAAAAACTAGATTTTTAAGAAATTCTAGTGATCTTTTTGAAATTTTTTCAATACTGGTTCTTGCAAATTCGGTTGATTCCTCCAATCCACTGATCTGACACTGTGTTTGGGATGGCCGATCCGGGTCATCGATCCTTTTCTTTAAACCTTGTTGGTTACTAGGTATAATTCTTCTTATTGTCCAAGTTTTGAATTTTCTGCCAAAGGTAACAATACCTTAAATTCTACTCCATATAAACCAGATTTAAGCGTTCTTTTCTCATATTTATTTGATTGTGGTATATGCAGTGATGAAAGTGGTGATAGTGAAGAAGATGTGCCAATCAGCTGATAGGCCAGAGGGTCAAGAAAATGTTCTTGTCCTTCTTGTGCCAATGATTTTACAGATTGATCTTTTGACCTACAAAGGCCGTTTTGGTATTATGGGGGGCTAAGATCTGCACGCCATTTGGGTTCTCTTGTGAAATACCATCCTGCCATAGAAAAATCAAAGAGGTGGTTTCCACGCAAAGCAATGCTTCATGATCACTTGAAAAGTTGGTGGAAACCGAAAAGTTTTGCTGTGTAGTCGCTGGTCATTTTTTCTCCTTCAAGTTTGTATTTGCCTGTGATTTATATCATTAATCCAACTAGTAGTTGAAATGCAAAGGGCTTCTTCCTTTCTTCATGCTTTTCCTTTTTGAATGCATTTTTCAGTTATGCTGGAGGCAATTTTCCAATATGATGGACAATAATGCAAATTGCCCCATTTGTTATTGGTGAGTGCTTGTAATGATGACAGATCATTAAGTTCATTTCAGAAACAGATGTTCACAATCATTATAGTGAAAAATAAGTGTGGAGTTGAGGCATCAATGAATTTGGAATCTTCTCTTAGTGGGTTGAGCTGTGATTCATCATAGATACATCTGTGATGCATACTGGTCCAGTAAAATAGGAGGTACTCTCAGGCTCTGTGGGCATTGAAAGGCCTTTACATACTGGTCCAAGAGCATTTCAAGTCTCTCTACTTCGGAAAGAGCCTTTATTGTCCTTTCCTGTATCAACAAAAGCTTAAGGTTGATCTAAGGTGTAGCTTGGTCTTTGCCTGCATTTTGTATGTGAATCCTTCGCCTACAATATGGTTTATTGTGGATCTTTTCGGCAGGCTTTCTAGCAAATTGTGTATGATTCATGTAACAAGTTTGGTTATTGATGCTCTGAGCTGTTTCCAACTACAGAGTTGGTCCCTGTAGAAAACGTTCTTGTTTTCTAGAGATATTCCTCGAGTGTCGTTTCTTAATGAAAATCAAATTATATGACAACCCACTTCAGGGAAGATGAATTTGCGACTTATTGTTGAAACCAGCGTTTTAAAAAACGCCGAGTCGAACCGGACTCGCCCGGTTCGACTCGGAAATAGTGAAAAAGGAACCGGATCGCCCAAAAATCGGAAATCGTCCGGTTCTAGAGAGAACCGGACGATTCTGTACAGTGAATCGCCGATTCACTGTACGGAATCGGCGAGTCCGAACAGTTTTGTAATCCATGATCGAAATGTTTGTTTTCTTTTCTTGTAATCCATGATCGATTTTTTTGTTTTTTTTTTTTTTGTAACCCATGATAGAATTTTTTGTAATCCATGATCGAATGTTTTGTAATATATGATCGAAATGTTTGTTTTTTTTTTATAATCCATGATCG